TGATAAAACACATGCGTGGTTTTCACATTAATTATAAATAAAATTATATATATATATATATACATACACGTGGTTTTCATAAATTATAAATAAAACCACGTGGTTCTTATTATTCATAAATAAGAACACGTTTTGTTCTTATAAATTATAAATAAAATGTATTATACAATTATGTTATGATATCTCCTTTTATTATAAAATATATTCTTTTATTTATATTTGCAGAAGAAACAATGGTGGATGGAGTACAAAATCTGGATCAAATTCCAAATCGCGGAATAATAACAATGGTTGGCAAGAAACATCAAAATCAAAGACTATGCCGAAAAATAAAAATTACAACGGAAATTCGAGAAACAATATGCCAAGTATGAAGATTGAAATAGATCCTAAGAAAGTAGGAAAACTTATTGGAAAAGAAGGTAAAAATATCAAAGAATTGCAGCAGAAAAGCAATACCAGAATTCTCGTAAGTATATATATATATATAATATTATTTATAAAAATATATAATATTTGTTAATATACAAAGTGGATTGAACAAGTTTTTTGTTTACAAATTTAACGTAGTAATGTGATTCATTTCTTACTTATCGATGAAATGGATATTTTCCGTTATCGAAATATCCAATATGGATATATTTAGACGGATATTGGGATCTCTAGCACTTGAATACGCTATCTGGTGGCTAAATTCAAAATTAAAGTAGATAGGTCGAATTGCTATGCCACGTGGGATCTCTAGCACTTGAATACGCTATCTGGTGGCTAAATTCAAAATTAAAGTAGATAGGTTGAATTGCTACCCACGTGGCATCTTTAACACTTGAATATGCTATCTGTTGGCTAAATTCAAAATTAGAGTAGATAAGAATTGATTTTGTAACAATACAAATATTGCATTAAACAACATTCTTTAGAATAAACTATAAAATTATCATAATAAATACAAATAAATATTAATACGTTTTGTATCACGTGGTACGCTGTAAACTTCCGTTTCAGGCCACGTGTGTATGCCACGCCGGTGGTATACGTAAGAATATTTATTTAACGTATCAAAACAACAAATGATTTGAATAAAAAGTCGATCATTGAACGTATAAATAAATTAAAAATAAAAGATAATTAAAAAAAAAAGAATTAAAAAAAAAAGGACGAACAAATCTCAAAATTCAAAACCCGCTTCCGTTCAAACGAAAAATACTACTACTACTACGTTAGTTTTTTCTCAACGTTTTTAATCAAATACAAAATTTTATTATTGTCGATGCTTAAAAAAGTTTTTCAATCAACTCTCTCTCTCTCTCTCTCTCTCTTTCTCGTATATAATAAAACAAATTAAATATTATATAAATATATTCTCAATTTTTAATTATTTTTTTTATCTTTTTTTTTTTTTTGTAATACAGGTAGATAATTCTAGGAATAATAATAATGCAACGACGGTAACTATAACTGGATCATTGGAAAATCAAAAGAAAGCAAATGAATTAATAGAAGAACTTTTAAAAGATCCTCCACCACAACCAGAAGAAGATTTATCTTTATACGTTAGTTTTATTTACAATTATATTTTAATTATTAATATTTTTGAATCATAATTTTTTGTTGTTGTTGTTGTTAATGATTTTTTCTTTATTTCAATTCAGGATTCATACGTAAAACCACCACCCTTTACACCAGGTCCTATTATTAAAAATTTTTATAAGGAAGATCCCACAGTTTCTAGTATGTCACCAAAAGATGCAAGGGAAATAAGAAGACAGAATAATAATATTGAAGTTGAATGCATTTTCACTGATGAGGATGCTCCTAAAAATTTTATAACTTTCGTACCAAATCCAATCACTTCTTTTGAACAAGCATTCAAAGTGAGTCAAATATAAGAAATCAATTTAATCCAATTAACAAGTTATAATAATAATAATACTAATAATATATAATTACAGGGATATCCAGAAATTTTAAAAGAAATTGTTAAACAAGGTTTTAAAACTCCAAGCCCAATACAATGTCAAGCATGGCCAATTTTATTAAGTGGCAAAGACATGATAGGTGTTGCACAAACTGGAACAGGTTTTTATTATTCTATTATATTATTTATCGATATTAATATTAAGGATATTACTTACAATTATCATATCATTATTATTATTATTATTATTATTTAGGTAAAACTTTAGCATTTCTATTACCTGCATTGATTCATATCGATGGACAAAGGGATACCCCAAGGATTGGACCAAATGTTATTATATTAGCACCAACTAGAGAATTGGCATTGCAAATTGAAAAAGAAGTAAATAAATATTCTTATCGTGATATCAAAGCGTAAGTATAATTAAATACGATCATTTATTTAATTGTTTGTCATCTTAATCAACAAATGTTTAAGTAATGTAATATTTTTTTTTTTTTTTTTTTTTTTAGTATTTGTATATATGGCGGAGTTAACCGTCTAGAACAGATTAAACTTGCTAAAAAAGAAAATGCACATATAGTTATAGCTACGCCAGGTAGATTGATGGACTTTGTTAGAGTGAATGTAATAGATGTAAGATCTGTATCATATGTCGTATTAGACGAAGCAGATCGTATGTTAGATTTGGGTTTTGGACATCAAATTAGTTATTGTTTAGATGATGTAAGACCCGATAGACAAACTGTTATGACCAGGTATGTAACATAATTGTTCAAATATAATTACATTTATATATAATATGGATTTATTAATATTTGAATATGTTTAATATTTATAACAGTGCTACATGGCCACCAGCCGTTAGAAGTATGGCACTCAAATATATGGTAGATCCAATTCAAGTATCTATTGGTTCATTAGATTTGACGGCTACACATACAGTAGAACAAATAGTTTACGTTGTGGAAGAAGAAGAGAAAAAAGAAATTGTTAGTATTATATATATAATAATTATTATTATTATTACTATTATTGATTGGCATTAGGAACTTGATTGCCACTCATTGCCACAAATACCCCCCGCCCTCCAATTATATTTATATAATATATTTAATATAATTAGTATATTAGTAATTAATATTGATATATTATGTCAAAAAAAAAAGAAAAAAAAGAAAAAACGAAATTATATTTGAAATATTTCTTTTTTACAGTTAAAAGATTTTCTTCTTAATTTGCATCCTGAAGACAAAGTCATTGTATTTCTTCGAACAAAAACTAACGTCACTGATCTATCTCTTGAGCTTTGTTTGGATCATAAAATAGATAACGAAAATGTTCACAGTGGATTAGTACAAGAAGAAAGAGAAAAATCAATAGCATATTTTGAAAATAATACTGTAAGAATACTCCTTGCCACCGATCTTGTCAGTCGTGGAATTGACATTAAAAATGTTACGTAAGTGTTTTTTAATTTTATTTCTTTTTCTTTTTTTTTTTCTCCTATCTGTTATTAAGTGCGTTAAATTTTATATAACAATGAATTTTGTTTTTTTTTTTTTTAGGCATGTAATTAATTACGACTTTCCTAATGAAATCGAAGAATACGTTCATCGAGTTGGACGAACCGGACGTGCTGGCCAAAGGGGAGTCAGCATAACATATATGACTAAAAAGGATTGGGCTCATGCACAAGCTCTGATCGATATTTTAGAAGAGGCTTATCAAGTTAGTATATCGATATTTATTTTTTTCTATCTTTTTTTTTTTTTGTTCTTATATTTTATTTTCTTACTTTACTCATATTTTGTCTTCCTTTCGTTAATATAGGATGTACCATATGAATTACGTAGCATGGCCAACAGATACGAACAAAGACAATCGCAACGGTCGAATAAAAGAACAAATAAGAATAAAAAGAGTTATTCTAAGTACTAATTAGTATATGTACTGCCGAAGCAAGTACATCTAAGTACTAATTAAGATTAATATTAAAATATGATTTAAGGTAGTACAATTTAACTAGAATCTCAAGTAATAATTAGAAATGAATATTTCGCTATTTAAGTAATACATCTTCGATATTTTTAATAATTGATCAAATATTTTAAAACTTTATGAGTTCTGTACAATGTCATAACATTGTTTCTTTCTTGTTTTTTTTTTTTTTTTTTTTTCTCCTTTCTTTCTTTCTCATTAATCATTGTTATTCAATTTTTTGCGGACGGGACGGTTTGAAACGAACCGTACCATTGAGCGGAGCACCTGTCATTATTGTCATTCAAAATTGTGAGCGCATAATTGTGGTTATAGCTACGCATTTACATGGGACACATATATGGGTCCTAAATCTATCAATTACTTTTTGCGAAACGCATATATGTGGCGTTAGTCTGCAAAAGGTTACTAGGGTAAAACTTATAAGAAGTTTTATACTTTTCTATATAATAAGTATAGTTTTTTAATTGGTCATATTTAGTGGAATTACATCTCATTAAAAAAAAAATCTATACTAAACAATTTATAATAATATTCATAAATAATCATTCTTTAAGATATTCGAATCATCGCGATTATGATTGCATGAAAACATTTTAAATCAAATGTAATTTAATTAAATATGAAGAAATAATAATATTTACAAAATATTAATTAAATTACTTTGAAAGAAATTTTTACGAGGAAAGCGAACGTCTTATCTTTATGTCTTATCTCTATGTTGTTTAAAATCAAATTAAAATAAGGTTTGTGTATATATGAGTCATCTTTTTTTTCCCCCCTCTCAATCAACTTAGCCGATAATAAAGGGAATATTTGCTTATGTAAACTTTATACAGGACACACATTTATTTTACTTATTAATAATAAGATAATTTATTTCTAATAAATTTTATTATATTAATATAAATTAATCAGATAAAAGAAGAAGTTTCCGAAAATAAGAAAAAAATAGCGGCAATATTCAAATTCATACATTGAATGGTCACATGGTACTTTCGACCAATCGCTAAGCGTTACGGGTTAATACGATATGCGATTGGTCAAAGCTCATTAGATAATATAATCGAGATATCATTTGAAAGGAATTCTCGCGAAAGTTCGATAATATCGCGATAATCGAAAAATGAAGAAACGCAATCGTAAGTAAGAACTCGCAATAAGTCGTGTTAAGTTCGTGAGAATCATTGCAATTTTTGTTCCAACACGAGCCCCAACTAATATCTCATCGTCCCAAGGTAGAAAAGAAATTTTTGTTTCTTTTTCTTCCTTGCGATCGTTTTCAATTGATAAAAAAAAAAAAAAATTAACTAATAAACAAACAACAAACAAACAAAACCCCGTCCACAAATGAAGAGTAAAATATTAGTCAAAATAAATTGAAAAGTGTCTGACGTTAAAAAAAAAAAAAAAAAAAAGAAAAAAGAAACTTAACACAAAGTGCTACGATAAAACATTAGACATCAAATCTAATCGTAAAAATAAATAGTGTTGCAACTTAACCTAACAATTACAAATACGCGATTGAGGTAATCCAACTGATAATATTATAAATAGGAAACGCGTGATTCGAATCTCGTTTTTCTTTTTCAATTTAATCGACTCTCTTTCTCTACTCGTATATATATATATATATAATATACATATATATATATGTATATGTGTTTGCGTAAGTACGTGCTGCATAAGTTAGTAGTGCGCGTGTAATTCTACGTTCTACATTATATATATATATATATATATATATATACATACACATACAGATCTATCAATCCACAAATACATCAAATATATATATATATATACATATATATTTGTCAAATCACGCGTTACGCATAAACGTGTATGTATATGTGTACTTATATGTGTATGTGCGTTCTTGGATATATACGATTCATGCAATACAACATCAGACAGTGCAATTGAAAACGCAATTGAATTTGTATTAGTTGAGTGTGAAAAAAAGAGTCTAGTGTGTAAAGAAGAAGAGGAGGAGGAGGAGGAGGAGGGGGAGAAGAAATAAAATCGAGAATAAAAGATAGATAAAAAAATTAACCTTAAAAATTGAAGTGTTTTAAAGACGTCTATTATTTAACATTAAAGTAAAACTTCGTTGATTCGATAAAATCTAAGAAAGGAAGGAAGGAAGAAAGGGAGGTGGTGAAGAAAAGAAACCTGGGCCAAATTTCTTGGCACATTTTTCATCGACGGACAAAAAGGAGTCACAACATTTCCACGATTCACGGTCTATGAGCGCCAAGAGCCAAGGGGACCCTGGAGAAGATCACGCTTCCAGGTGTCATATTGTTGTTTCACGTTATTTTTCCATCCTTTCATTTTTTAAATCTTTCTGTGCCTTTCCCTCTACCTCTCCTCCAACTCTCCTATTTTATCTTATTTTTATTTTCTATCTTTATCTTTATCTTTATCTAACGCGTCATCTTTATCTTTCTCCTCTATCTTTACAGTATGTGAATGTGAATGTAAATGTGAATGTAAATATGAATGTATGTGTGTGTGTATGTGTATGTTGTTTTTTTCTCTTTTTTTATTTATGTTTTTTTTTTATTCATTTCTCATTTGCGTTCTCACACACGAATACGTTTTTTCTTTTTATATGACGTAGTTGTCTTGCTCATGCTTATTTTATGTTACATATATATATATGTGTTTCTATATTTCTCTTTCTTGTTTCTCTTCATAGCCACGGAATGATCTAATTTTAGTGCTTTGTTTTGGTACAACGGACTCGTGAGAAAAGCTTCATCCTAATGTTGGAAAAATCATCATTAAATATTTGGCTTTATTATATTCTTGTTGACATTTAAAATGAGTATTTTTCAAATCACATTTATCTTTCCATTTTTCCCTCTCTATTTTGACATTTAATAATAATTATTTATAATTATATTATTAATGTATACTTTGAAGTTTTTCGAGTAGCACAAAAAATATTGAATACATGTGGTATTTAATATTTGTAAATATTTTGTGCTACTAAGGGTTGATTAAACGTTAAATTGAAAATATTAATTTGTGGGTTGAAATGATAAAGAATTGTGTACTATTATTATTTTTGTTTTGGATAAATTTAGGGTAGGAGCGGAAAGCCCTTGCAGCGATATGAAGCGTGCAGCTGCCAAGAAGCTTATTGAAAGGTACTTTTATCAACTTACCGAAGGATGTGGTAATCCTCAATGTAGTAACCAAAACTGCGCATCCAGTGGGAAAGTATGAACATTTGAAATATTATATTATTATTATTATTATTATTATTTAATATTAAGTATATATCTATTTTTTAGTTAATGCGTTTTGTTTCATGTGATAAATAACAATGATTATTCATTGTTCGTACAGATAACTAATCTAACACCAAACCAAGCAGCTGCTCAAGCCATACAGTTGTTCTCACAAGAAGCTCGGTTATGCGATGGTACTCAACCGAGTAAAGTTGCTAGAACTACTTTGGAACCGGGACCAGCATCATTGGCTAAAAGTCTACCTGTTAAAAATGTAAATCCTACTTGCTCGGATGAAGGTACTATATTGGCAGAATGTAATACAGCCATTTGCTTTCTTCTTGATTCTATTTGTCAACAAACAACTATCGCAGAAGATGATATTAATTCTATCAAGATCGTTAACAATACAAATTCAAATTCTGATATGCTACAATTAGAGAAACGAGACAACGATGATGTTTCTGACATTGTTATTTTAGAAGATAAATCAACTAAATTTTATTCAAGATCTAACGAAGATGTTTATTCTAATAAATGTTCTAATTCATCTAAAGTTGTCGTTAATGAAGATTGTATGTTAGAAATATTGAAAAAGTATAACATTCGTATTCCAAAATGTCAAATTAAACAAACAAGAAGGCAGGCAATTCGATGTAGAAAACAGCCATCGCCTAAACAAGTAATACAAAGTAGTAGATCGAAGAAGAAACCACAACAAACAAGAAATAGAAGAAACATTCGAAAAAGAACTGTTAGAAAATTTTATACGCGAAAGTCTATGATCAAATTGTTAATATTAACATTATATTTGAAATATTTGGAAAAGGAAAGATACGATAAATGTTATTTATCTATAAATAAATAAATAAATAAATAAAAGAATCCTAAAAAGGATTCTTTGTCTTCTTTTATTTTTTTTTTTGTTTTTTTTTTTCTAATCTCTACTACTTTACACATATATATATACATACATATATACATATATAATATTTGTAACAATTATATTTATACAGTATAATGTTTACTGTTTATTAATTGTTATAATAAATATTTTCTATAGCAATACAACATTTTGTAAAGCTTGTTTTAATGCGCTTGTATTGAAAGATTGACAAAGAAAGCAAATGGTTGGATTGAAATTAGATTATTAAAATAATGTAGCATAAAAAAAAAAAAGAAAGAAGAAAAAGAAAGAAAGAAAGAAAGAAAGAAAAAAAAAAAGAAAGAATTTAAAAGTAACGAGAAAAAGATAGAAATATGTAATATAATTAATTTAATTGTAACAGGTAAATCAGAACCATATCTAACCGAAGCCAAACTTCTGGATATAATAAATAAATGTAAATCGGAAAGGGCATATGAATTATTGATACGTACATTGGGAAAAGTATTTTCTTCTAGAGAAGCATTAAGCCGAAGTTTTCAAAAGACTGAAAAAAATGATTCACCATTGGCGGCATTACTTGATAGAGCACCTGATAATCTTTTAAGGCCGCCTGCAGATTTAAACAAAGAGGCTGTACGTTCCTTACAAGGTGAAGATAAAGAAGAAGACAGTAGCGATCCAACACCAACAGTTCCTCCTAACGACGATGATACTAGCGTTGATTTACTTGCTGTTAGAAGAGCTTTTAAAGCGTTATGGACACTTCCAGGTTATTATAATTATATATATATATATATATATATATATTATATTAACCATTATCTTGGTGGTCAGTTATAAGTGGTTTTACTAAACATGCAACAAACTTGTGTGTTAAGTATATATCAAAATTAATTTATAATTTATTTGAAATTATTAATTATTTAATTAACATTTTTATAAATAACATATTTTTATTTGTTAGTTACTTTATATATATACATTACTTTATATATATATATATATAAGTAAGTATGTATAAGATAAGGGTTAATTATATCATATCATATCATATATATATATATATTATTGTATGTGTAAATATAAATATTAAGAATTAAAATTTGTTTTAGGGAAAGCATTTGAATCGGCACTTGTAAATGCACTAGTCACATTAGCGGATACAATAGAATTACATTTAAGAGTATTTGGAAAAACACCACCTCACAGCATGGACAGTCTTTTAAATGTATTTTTAATCGTATTTGAAATACCAATGTTGGGAAATAGCGAATATCTTGAATTAGCACTTCATATGCTTTGTAAAGCTGTTAGCTGTTTTCCGACAGTAGCTCAAGCAAAATTAGCACGCATATGGGCCAGACATTGTAAACCTACGTTGCCTAATCTTCTTCAAGCTTTACAAGAATTGATTACCGTTAAGGTATGCTTTAATTAATAATAATAATTATTATTATTATTGATAAATATTCTTTTAAGAGATAATTGATTTATTTGATCATAAATTATTTTGTTGTTGTATAGGTAATAAGTGGATCATTTACACGGGATTATTGTGTACAAGATGCAGATACCATAACTGCTCCTACAAAAGTTATGAGGATTCTTTATTATGCTAGTATGTTAGCTGGAGAATTAGATAGTAGTGAATTAGGGACGACTGAAGATGGTGATACGACAAAACTTGACAAATCTTGTAAAATCACTTCGCAAATCCCACAGGTATACAATATTTAATTGGATATTAATACATTATTTAATTGTATCAATTTAATAACGTAATATATTTATTTAGGATCCATTAGCCAAAGAATTAGGAATTTCTGCGTTGGATGCTCGCAAACCATTTATATCTTTTACCGATTTTTATAATGAACCGTTGAGTGATGCTATCGAAATGGATAAAGATTTTGCTTATTACAAAAGCGAAGAACCTCAGAAATTTAGTTTTATGAATTATCCGTTTATCCTTACGCCAGCTACAAAAACATTGGGCCTATATTACGATAATCGTATAAGAATGTATAACGAAAGAAGAATGAGTTTCTTACAAACTGTTGTTGGACAACCGACTAATCCATATCTTAGATTAAAAGTAAGTCACCGATGATATCACATTGATTGTATAATCAATTTATAAATATTTTAAAAATGATTGATAATATTTACGTAAATAGGTACGTAGAGATCATTTGATAGACGATGCATTGGTCGAATTGGAAATGGTAGCTATGGAAAATCCATCGGATCTTAAAAAACAATTGGTTGTCGAATTTGAGGGTGAACAAGGTGTAGATGAAGGTGGTGTATCTAAAGAATTCTTTCAATTAGTTATAGAAGAAATCTTCAATCCTGATTATGGCATGTTTACGACTCAGGTAAACAATTGATTAGAAAATATGATTAATCATAAATATTATTTATAAAATAATATTATTATAATTGTTTAATTGAACAGGAAGACACACAATTAACGTGGTTTAATCCTACATCGTTTGAAATCGACGCACAATTTACGTTAATAGGAATTGTCATTGGATTAGCTATTTATAACAACGTCATTTTGGATGTACGTTTTCCTATGGTAGTTTATCGAAAATTATTAGGTAGAAAAGGTGGATTTGCCGATTTAGAAGATTGGAGTCCTACTTTATATAGAACGTTAACGGAATTATTAGCATATACTGAAGATGATATGTCGGATACATTTATGCAAACCTTCCGTGTTGGTTACAAGTAAGTTTAATCAAATAAATATATCTATATACTAATACTATACTAATTATAATATTAAATATCTGATATATTAGATATTAGTAATATTTATTAATTGAAATAATTAGATCATTTTAATGAATATAATTAATTTTTTTTCTTTATAGAGATGTTTTTGGTTCTATGTCGTTTCATGATTTACGCGAGAACGGTGATGAAACTTACGTAACTCAAGCAAATAAAAAAGAATTTGTAGATCTTTATGCGGATTTTTTGTTAAATAAATCAGTCGAAAGACAATTCAAAGCGTTCAGGCGTGGTTTTCAAATGGTTACCGATGAAAGTCCGCTTGCTTTACTTTTCCGACCAGAAGAAATTGAACAGGTACATTTATCATTATTTAAATACAAATCATCTTTAATAAATTGGAACTAAAGTTAATAACCAAGATTTTATTTTTTTTTTTTTTGTTTTGTTTTGTTTTAAAGCTTGTTTGTGGTAGTAAAATATTTGATTTCGCTGAATTGGAAGCAGCAACGGAATACGAGGGTGGTTATACGGTTGACAGTGAAGCAGTTCGTAATTTTTGGCGAGTTGCTCATTCGTTACCACCGGAAAGTCAAAGAAGGTTACTTCAGTTTACTACGGGTAGCGATCGAGTTCCAGTTGGTGGTCTTTCTAGGCTTAAAATGGTTATTGCAAGACATGGTCCAGATTCAGACAGGTATTCATTCAACTTTTATATATGAGCCGTTTATTTTGAAAGTGGCCTAACTCCATTTGAGTTTGAAAGGTTTGCGTTTCAATGCAATTCAAAATATACGTACAGAATACTAACGAGTCATACTGCTAGGGATGTTAAATTTATAGTTTCTATTAAAATAGTGGCAATTATTAAATGAATAATATGCGTTTTCTTACCAAGAATGAAGTTAGGCCACTTTCTAAATTGATAACCAGATTCATTATTAAATTTGAAGGAGCTCAAGTCCATTCAACATAATTTAAGTTGCTTCAAATTGAAAAATAAACAATACTCAATTTACTTTACATATCTTTAAAATACTTCAGAAACATAATTTGTGCGATTCAAAAGATTTGTTAACTACATCAATTACAAAACAATTTTTCTGCTCATTTACATTTTGCGTTTGTAAAAGGGATTTGAAGAAATCATGATATTCCGTTGGTATATGTCGTAGCAGGACTATTATGTCCTTGAATTTTGCTGTTGTAATTTGTCTGATATTTTCATACAATGGTGTCAATATAATATTGTCGAACTTTTTTGGTTTACCCAGATGTGGTAAGAAATTCAGGATTTTCAAATGTTCATTCTCATTCATCGATGTCTTATAGAAAATTTAATACGGTTCATTTCTAACAAAATACATTCAAATATATTTTTAATCAGTTTATCGATTCTCCGTTAGAATTCTGTACCCTTTTAAAAATTGCTTTTTCTAATAATTTGGCTCATACAAAAATCTTCTTGTTTCATTTCATTTACAATAAAGTTATTACCTTTTTGGATCTTTCTGATAATATTATAATAATCTTTGGGGGTAAATGATAAATAATTGTCTTTTAATGATATTTCTACCACGTCAAAATCTCTATGATTACAAGTTATTACGGACAATTGAAAAATAATAATTGATCATTAGAGTTAGGCTACTTTCAAAAGAAACTTTTTCATCGTTTCATTAATCAACAAATTTTCGTGTTACAAAATTTTCATTATTTTAAATATATTAGTAACACATTGTTTCATAATGAAACGATCATATAAAAATGTAACTATTACGGTAGCTAACTTGATTTTTTTTGGAAAATAGAGATAGACCACTTTCAAAATAAACTTTGTCATCGTTTCATTAATCAGCAAATCTTTTTGTTAGAAAATCTTTATGATTTAAAATATATTAGTAACAAATTGTTTCATAATGAAAAAAATTCATGTAAAAATGGAACTATTACGGTAGCTAACTTGATTAACTTTTTTGGAAAATGGAATTAGGTCACTTTCAAAATAAACGATTCATATATATATATATATTCAAGTCGAAAGCTCAAATAAAAATATATTAGTGTGCCAAATTGAAGAAACTTGGATTTGAAGCTAGTTCTATAAATATAAGATCATGAAATATTTTCTTAATACGTAGGTCATATAAAATGATGCACATTTATGATTCATATTCACTACGTTATTCTTTTTATGTTAAATATTATTATTATCATAAAATTACTAACGTACACTGTTGTTGTCCTCTTGTTTCCAATTATTGTCATTATTTTCTTTTTTTTTACCGTATGATACTTTTATTATTATACTTTTTAACCCTTTCAGTGCTATGAACGCATATATGCGTTTGGTAAAAATTACCAGAGTGATCCTATCAATGCATATATGTTCGTTTATATTTATATATAAAAAGAAAACTTTAATTATTAAATATTACGTCGAGTCATAAATAACTTCCGTTTTTTAATGAGACAACGAATGGCGTTTCTGCAACTGATAAATACAAGACACCTTTCATGAAGTTTTTTTTGCACTCTTTGCAATTGTTGAACGTATCTATTGGATTTTGCTTTAATATTACCTTTAAAAGGTTCATCAAAGTCGGAAAAATACGTCCTGTACTCGGTTCATCTTTTAAGATCGTATCTTCAGAACGGAATTTTACAAACCAATTTCTGACTGCCCTATCAGTTATCAGTCCTGCACTGTATAAGCTGTATATTTTTTTAGTTGCCACCTTAGTGCTACTTGCCTTGTTTCAATTCCTAAAGCATTACATGTTGAATATGCACTTTTTGAAGTGAAAACTTCTTTAGAATGGGTGTGATTTGAAAAAATGTAACGGAGTGGTAGGCGGCTATGTAACGGAGCGGTAGGCGGCTATGTAACGGAACGGTAGGCGGCTATGTAACGGAGCGGTGGAAGCCGATGAAACGGCCGCGATACTAAATAAGAAGAGAATACAATTATCCTACACCAAATATTTTTATTTTGTATTCGTCTCATTCTCTCGAAGCTTAGTTTTATTGAAGATTTCACTTCTAACACGTGTGATCTTTACTATCCATTTCAGTGATTAAGAAAAACAATTAAATGTAACATTGACTGCATAAAAAAGTTAACAGAAGACTAAACTGAATCCTCATCTATACAGTGATATCGAAAATCCGTTTGTTTCGGTGACTTATAGTAGGTAAATTACGAAAAATAGATTCTACATAGCCGCATCGGAAGTTACTTATGACTCGACCTAATATAATTTATTATTAAAATCTAGTTAATAATCTAGTTATTAATAGTTATAATATCTAGTTAATAATTTACAAAAGATTTTAGATAAAAGTAATTCAACACTCAAAGGGTTAATTAAATAATTTTTAAATGAATTTTTAAATTGTGCTAATGAATAAATTAATTAATTATGAAAAATAATTAATTTTCAGATTACCCATCGCCCACACATGCTTCAACGTTTTACTATTACCGGACTATAGTACGATTGAAAAGTTACAAGATCGTTTATTAAAAGCAATCAACTATTCTAAAGGTTTTGGCATGTTGTGAATGTGTACCAAAGCTTCATCAATTAATCAACACTATATCAAAGTGAATAATGATGAATACTTTAAATACACATACATCAGGATATATAAAAAATCATGTTTCTTAATCTTCTTAAAAACCCGATCACACATTACACATGGACATAATATTTATTATTATGTAATTATGTTCTATAAAAGAGAGATAATAAGCGTGTGTGGTGGTGGTGGTTGTGGTGTGCTGCGTGCAATTGTGGGTGTTGTTTATGCTTTCAACAACAACAACAACAACAAAAATAACCAAAATAAAAATAACAACAATAAATTGTGCTCAATTGATAACAACAATAATAACCAACAATTACAATGCTCTTCTCAGTATCCACTGTTATCGATTATCCTTTCCAGGGTTCATCGTTTAATGAGAACACACCTGCACGTTAAATACAAATTGATATAAAAACAAAAGACCTCTTCTTGATAGCAATAGAATAATTATCAACAAAAAAAAAGGAAATTGTTACGTGATGATGATGAAGATGATGAAGATGATGCTTTCAAATTTAATTGGCACCCCATATTATAGTAAACTATTACTATATTATTAATAGTTATTAATATTACTATTAATACTACTACTACTACTACTACTACTACTACTACTACGTGCTTTGACAAAATAATTATAGCTGATTTAGATATCAAACAAAAAAATTATCGTTTCTTCCTATATTCTTCTCTATAAAAAAAAATAAAAAAATAAAAAAAATAAAAACAAAACCAAAAAAACAAACAAACAAAAAGAAGAAATGAAAAGAAGAAAGAAAGAAAAAAAGATAAATAAATAAATAAATAAAAAAATATTATTCTTTCCCTTTTACGTTGTCCTCTGGATGTAAAAATGATGGACGTGTGTGTTCGATTCTTTAACTAAAAAAAAAAAAATAATAATAATAAAACAAACAAATAAAATGGCTTGAACACATGAAAATTTCTACAAAAGCAAACGAATTATATTAAATATATTTAATATATACAGCTTTTTTTTCTCTCGATTTTTTTTTTGGTTTCTTTGTAAAAAAAATAAATAAAAAAAAAAATAAAAAATAAAAAGAATCGAATAACTTAACAAAATTTAATATAACGGGTGAAACGCTCAAAAGAGAAAGAAAGAGACAGAGACATAATGAAAAGCTACTGTGATGATTGTGTGTATGAGTGTGTGAGAGAAAAAGAGAGAAAGAGATCGAGAGAGAGAGAGAGAGAGAGAGTTGAGTCAAACTAATAACAAAATAAATAAAATAAATAAAAAAAATTGACTATGATAATAGAAATAAAATAAAAGAAAAAAAAATAAGTAAATAAATAAAATAAAATAAAACACAGGGAATAAGAGAAACAACAAATCTTAGCAGATAAATAATGAGAACAATATAAAATTGCAATTGTATTACGTTTGCAATAGCCGAAAATAACCCTGAATGCTAACAATGATGATGATAATTATGATTATGATGATTAACATGAACGACATCACGTGATCACTATGATATATTATTATAATATAAAAAAGATACTATATATACAAACAAATTTTTTGTAATACAGTGAAGAAACGTGTAAGATGGTGTAAAGAAGATCATATTTAACTTATCGTTGACAATTTCTTATATATTTGTATGTAATTATTATTATTATTATTATTATTATTACTATTATTATTTTGTTTGTTTTTCTCTTGAAATTCTTCTTCTTCTTCTTCTTCTTCTTCTTTTACACCCACGTTTCTTATTATCATCCCTGAAAAAATATTGGTCAAGAAAAACAAAAGCAAAAGCAAAACAATCAAGCAGAAGATAAAAATCGTAGTTTGAAGAAAACTATAAAAATTCAACAACAATTTGTATAAACATAACATTTATAATAATAATAATAATAATAATAATAATAATAATAATAATAATAATAATATTGGGCAGCAATTTTTGAAACCCGAACAACCACAATATTTGCTCAATTTGTCGGCTGTCCTTATTATTGTTAGTCACGTGACAATAAAGTTCTATTGTGAAAGAAACGAAGATAACGAAAACCAAAAAAAGAAAATATAACAAAAATTATAATACACGAGAGTGAAATATTTAATCGTTAGAATCCCATCAAAAAGATCAATAATATTGTTTAGATTTTGTTTTGTTTATATATATTATAACATGTTATTAACAGAGCCCATTGACAGCCGGCCCCGGTTTTTGGGCTGTCGCTTGAGCACCGGCCCCGCGAAAACGCGGGTTTCTGTTGAGTTCGTCGCTTGAGTAGCTGCCCCACAATGATGATGTGGATTTTTTTTGCTGGTTGAGTATCTTCTTACACATTGATTTGTATTTACTTGCCATTCTTTACGCCAATCTTCATTTGTTATATCATTAAATGGCCGATACGTTGCCGGCACTCAGGCTTTACATGTCTTTTAGGTCACCGACTGGCAATGTGTTATAATGTAATACACAATTATGGCCATAATTATGAAAATAGTCAAAACAACATATATCTTTTGTTTTGAATTACATTTGAACTCATTTTATATGAGTTTTGTATAATATTAACACTTAGCCGATCGGGGAGATCTCCTTGTTTCAATGTAGATCGGTGCCCCGACCGATCAGGTTGATCTCCTCGTTTCAATGTAGACAAATATATGAAAGGGGCTAATCGTACAGACCACCAATAATATGTCTTATTATAATATTCTTCGAAAAACCACGAAATGGACAAACAAAAAGCAGTGCTTTACATTTTAAATGCTGCTCTTACAGTTCGCTGCGGCGCGCGTTGGTCGGCTAAGTGTGTAAAATAACAAACATTATATTTAAAGATTCATTTTTTGACACAATATTACTTACATTGAATTTATTTACTTTTAAATAATGTAATGTGAAATAATTGATAAATTCAATTTTTTTGTATTTTTTTTGTTGTTGTCTCATTTTGACTTAGACTTTCACTTTCATAATTATGGACACAATTGATGATAACGTCGGGGTTGGTATCACTTGAATTATTTATTTCAGTAAAATTATTTTAAAGATTATTAAGGATTCTAATGATTAAATTGAAACATTTAAATATCTCTTTTACTTTATAATCTTAATTAAGAAAATATTTATAAAATGTAATTACATTTATGTGTAACTTTTGATCACATATTTATTTAATGAAATCATATTTTGTTTTTTTGTTTTTTTTTAAACATTAATGGAACAACACTTAATATTTTTTTCACTCAATAATTTATACATGATTTTTGTTTAATATAATATTTAAATGAATTATATTTATATGCAAACAATACCACTGATACTACAAGAACTTTATCAGAACTTGAAAACAATGATTTTTGTTATACTTTGTACATAAATTGTACAAAATTCTTTGAAAAGAAATTATAAAAAGGCTCAAAACTTTTCAGCCTAACTATGTACATTTTTTTACAATATTACGAAGTTCTGATGAAACCTTTTGTTTGTTGTAAATTTATTTATTTTTTTTTTTTTTTATAAAATTATAAATGACAGAGATATTTAAAGTATCCAAATTTAAATGACTCACTCTGTATGTATATATATATATATTTTTATTTGATAAGAGAAACACACTCTCGTATCGACTGCTATAGCAATTTATAAATAACAAAATTCTAATTTGTTTTTTATTTTTAATTGCTAAATTTTAAATCATTTGATGTCGTACGACATTTTTTGTTTCTTTTTGTTTTTTTTTCTTTTAATTAATTAAAAAATTTCTTTTTTGTTTTGTTTCTTCCTTTTTTCTTTTTTTTTTTTTGTATTTAATTTAATATATAAATATTAATATTGGTTATTATTTTTTTTTTTTTTTATAAGAGATAAATATCTCAGTACTAATTGGACAATAGGACTCTTGTATTTTCATAATTTGAATTATTGTATTTAAACATATCTCTTCTTCATCACGATAATTACATTTTCTTATATAATATTTTTGTGATTATTATTATTATTATTATAATAATACTAAATTTCGTTATGTGGAATAATAATACTAATGTCTATCATCATACTAATGATTTAAAAAGAAGGAAATCGCAACAAGGGTTTACATTTTTTCAAGAATCATCAAATGGAACAACTCGCATTGCAAATTTAAAGGAACCCATTCAATCAACTGTAATTTTATTTACATAAAACATTTGATTATGATATAAGAATGAAAATAATAATAATATATTTTCAACGAAATTATGGGCTTGTTTATTCATTAGTTTCCACAAGAGGAATATTATAGAAATCTGAAGAACGGTTTTATATCTTCTCCAATTTCCAATGGTTTAAATCAATCCGATAAAGAAATAAATAGATCAACGATGGAACAATCATATTTATCAAATGGAAATAATAAATCAGGTGATTGGAAATATGATTGCAAGGAATTTTGGCAATCGATAGAACTAGCTTTGAACGATAATAAAAAAACTACTCAAGAAGCAACCATTAATACAGAAATGAAATCTAAAAATCCATACAGCATTTCTAATTGCAATAATTCAATACAATTTAGTAATAAAAGTGGTATAGAAATGATAGGTACATTTAAATACTACATTAATTAAAACAAATTAAATATAAGACTCATATTTCTTTTTTTTTTTTTATAATAATAATTATTTTTTAATCATATTTAATATTTTGATTGAATTTTTCAGACGATTGCAGTCTTAAGGAGTCCACCTCCGTCAGTGTTACAAATAAAAAACCAAAGACGACAATTTTGTTAAACATAAGAGAACATTTAGCAAATTATCAAGAAACCACCAATGGTATTTCACGCAAAGAATATCCTTTTAGGGATCTTGTTAAAGTCATGGGTCAAGCAACAGGTCGATCATTGATCGCTCTGCTTTATATTATTGTTAATATTGCACCTATTGCAGAAGTAATGAAAATATCATTTTAATGACTGACCGAAGTAACCCTATTTCTAATTGAAACATAATATTTTCCTATGAATTCATTTGATATTACAGATATTTCTCTACATTTTACGATTCGTATTGGACAAATTGATAAACATCAAGAATACTAATAATATTAATCAAATGATTATCAAATATGCGATATTTGCAATACAATTGCTCAGTATTTACATTTGTTTAACTTTTATATTTGGTTTAATCATTATGCCAATTTTATACATGGTTCTTCATATTGTTGCAAAACTTCTGTCGTATAATTATTGATGATAAAGAAAGTCAAAGAAAATTATATTATATATATTGAATTAATAATCTTTGTTTTGAGTATTTGATGTTATGTGATGATTGTTATTTTGTTCTTGATATACAATAATTTTGATTATTGTTTAATAATACGCCAATTAATTAACAAGACACTAAGAAAGAAAATTTGTTTCTATACAACACTGACCAAATGACACTTTGGGGAAACTTAATTTAATAATTACACAATCGCAGACTTTGTACGAATTATTTTCTGAACATTGTTCGACAGTCTCATTGATTGTCTCCACTGGTTTTGCGCAGTTAGAAAAAACTGCTTTGATAAAAAATAATATAAATAAATAAATAAATAAAATGAAACACATATATACATAGGACACACATTTGCATGTGTCAACATTGTAAATAACAATGTACAGAATAATTAATAATAATCTGGAAAACAAACACAGAAGAAATTATTTTGGATTCCAAATGAGATGGATACAAAAAAAACAAAACAAAACAAATAAAAAAAATCTTGTTCAATTTATAATTGTATTCCTGTGATCAAGAAAAGGAAAAAAATGAATAGGTTAGATGTGCCAATATTATTTCCAGAACTCCAACCACATTCGATCTCAGTTTTCAAAGCTTTGGATAAGGTCATGTTATTTTTGTTCATACAAAATGTTTCTCTTAGATCATCGTCAGAGCCATTGTCCCAACAATTAAATTCATCACCTTCCTCACGTTCAAAATTATTAAATTCACCATAAGAATTGCATCTATCTTCTTGATACTGTCTGTGTTTTCTTTGCCACATTTCAATCCATCTGAAAATAATTATTTCAATTTTGAGGTTAAAAAGTGACATTACTTTCTGGCTCCCCCCCTCTTAATATATTATCACAAATTATAAATTCAAGAATTAATTATGATGTATTAGGGGGACTTCTTAAAAGTAATGTCGTTACTACGCGTGTCAAATTATTTCTAATATTATAAATCAAAAAAGTAATTGATATTACAAATTTGCATATCAGATAGAAAAAGATTGTTGATAACCTTTGTGATTAATTAATTTAGTTAATTAATTTAATAATTGATTAATAATAAAAACTTGTTTGAATTTTGAGGTTAAAAAGAGACATTACTTTCTGGCCCCCCCACCCCTAATATATTATCACAAATTATAAATTCAAGAATTAATTATGATGTATTAGGGGGACTTCTTAAAAGTGATGTCGTTACTACGCGTGTCAAATTATTTCTAATATTATAAATCAAAAAAGTGATTGATATTACAAATTTGCATATCAGATAGAAAAAGGTTGTTGATAACCTTTGTGATTAATTAATTTAATTATTGATTAATAATAAAAACTTGTTTGAATTTTGAGGTTAAAAAGTGACATTACTTTCTGGTCCACCTAATATATTATTATAAATGATAAATTATTTTCATTTTGATATTAACACTAGAATTACCAATAGTTGAGACATAGCTGTCTCTACCAAAACCAATCAAAATGACTGGTCTTTAAAAAAGACATAAAAGTCGAATATTTTTATATTTATTGACTTATTATTATTTTACAAAAGAAACTCTCCATGTTTTGAGATATTAAAAACTATATAATAACAATAAGTACAATAATGAAGAATATTTGTTATCAAAATCATGTAACATGAAGGAGGAATTTATAAACTTGTCAAACCAGTCAAAATGGCTGATGTGGTAGTTCTAGTATTAATTATGATATAATTATCATTAATTACAAATATAAGATATTCATCTTACCCAATATCACAATCACAATTCATATAACTTCCAGCTAATCTGAGTTTCATGAGAAATTGTTTTCTCGGTACACCAGGTTTATGACCAGTTGATGGATTATGAAGTGTTCTTGTATCAGTACGATGAAGATCAACCGTAATATTTCTCACCCATTCGGCATTGATAAATATTTCTTTTGGTACACTATTTACACTTGTATTAAATAATCCAAAATGTAAATGTGAATTTCTTATTCCCTATTAATAAATAAAAAAAAAAAAAAAATTTGTAAAAAATTAATAAATCATTTCAATGAATAATAAATAATTCAATGAAGATTTACTTTCAATATATCCGAATGAATAATTTTCAAAGCTTTCCCAGTCAGTGTAATATTGTACAATTTACATGGAAATTTTCCTTTCATTTCTTTCTGTAAATCAGTCTCATTTTCAACCTAAAATAATAACAATTAATTATAATAAATCTTAATCCCCATGTTAATTAATCTTTCCAATATTTGAATACAATCAAATTTTGTATATGCTTACATCAATCAACAAATCTCTTAAACCATGATTGTATTCCAAAATATTAGGAAAATTGAATTGTTTTAAACCCGTGTAAGCAGTTATATACAATCTTCTAAGTTTCGTTGCTTTACAAAGAGCACCAGCCTACAATTAAACATAATTAATATTCTGTAATTGTTTAATTTAAGAAAAAAAAAAAAAAAAAAGAAGAGAAGCATACTTCAAACGTTGATAAAGATAACCATCGTATATCCAATTCTTCAAGACTATCGGCTACACCTAAGAAACTTGTATTGGTGATAGCCGTGATTGGATTATTAGCCAAATTAAAAGTTTTTAATTCTGGAAGAGTATGTGTGATCAAAGGAACTACAGTTAAATCATTATAACTTAAATCCAAATAATGTAACGACGTTAAATTTGATGCCATTTCAGCTGGTATCGATGCCAATTCGTTGTGTGCTAAATGTAATATTTGTAATCTCGTTAATGGTAATTCTGGTACCTAAGAAACAACAAAAAATATGTAATTTTTTATCTCAAAAAAGATACTTAATAAAAACAATATATATATATTTGAATAAAAAATATTGATATCCAACTTGTCGTACTCTTTCTTTCTTCTTATATATATAATATAAATAAAATACATACACTCAATAAAGAAATGTTACTTAAACCAAGATAAAAAAGTGTATCTTCCAATCCATGAAAAGTTCGTCCACGAGTTTCCAATATCAATTGTTTATTGTGACTCAAATCAAGATGAGATAAATAAGGTAAATCAGAAAATACTCCATCGTCCAATCTAACTAAACGATTATATGAAAGATCTAACCACGTTAATCCCTAAAAAAAAAAAAAAAAACAAAAAAAAGAAACCAAAATAAAGAGTACTTTATAATTGATAAATAACAAAATAAATGGAACAATTGTAATCATAACATAATTAACAAAGTGAAATTTGTTTAAAATTAGATTCTTACTCTCAATCTGAAAATAGCATCGGTTGTGTGAATGCCTGACAAAGTATTCCAAGACAAATCTAAAATAGATAAACTCATTGCCGCTGATATAGACATAGTTTTAACAGGAAGTCTCATAAATTGATTATGTGAAAGATCAAGACTCTCAATGATTGCATCTGTGAACATATTATCCGGTAATGATCTCAATCTATTGTGTGATAAATCAACGATGCGTAATTTTTTCAAAGGTCTCAACGCATCTGCCGGAATATCTGCGATGTTATTCCATGATAAAAAAAGAACCTGTAAATTTCTTGTATTTCTAAAACAATCAAAATCGACCTCGATTAAATCGTTGTGACTTAAATCGAGCCATTGCAAGTGAGGCATGTTGCCAAATATTCCTTGCGTAACGTTGGTCAGTTGATTATGCGACATGTACAAATGACTAAGCGAATATTCCACTGGTTTAAAATAGTATTTCATAATGTCCGATATATTATTGTAACTTAGGTCTAAGACTTTGATATTGGCTTGCATGTTACCACCAACTGTAACACAAAATAATACATTTTCTTTTTATTACATTTTTATTTAAAACAAACAAAAAACAGGTGTGCATATCACACAAGTTAATAGTGAAACCTTCAAATAAACAAATTTCGAGGATAATTTATTATACAATATTATCATAATATTATTTGTACTTTTAATTTGTAATTATTTATTTAATTATAAAAATGTGCGCCTGTTAGTATGCAACCCTCCAGACGACACACTTTGAAAATGTTGCTTGCGAGCGCCATTTGTCGAGACGGAATTTCTTCTGCCCGAAAGATAGGCAACCCGTCATACACACGTGTATAAACAGTTTCGACTGGACAAAATTCAAAGTGTGTCTGGAGGGTTGCATACTAACAGGCGCGCATTTTTTATAATTACAAAGAAAATAAATAATAAAATACTTAACAAAATGTTTGCAAATCAAATATTTTTTATAAATTATGATAAAAATTAAACTCTAATATTGTAATTAATTTATGCTTATTTTTAGAATAATATTTAGTATTTTATATGAAATTAAGGCCGTTTCTTTTCCCCATTACATTACCGCGTTTCATTTTTTCAAATCACATTCCATTCTAAAGAAGTTTTCACTTCAAAAATTACGAAAATATATGTTTTTTTTTTTTATTAAATACATACTTGTGGTTGGTGATGTAAAGGTGGTACTGTTGATCCACAATTTTGGAATTTCATTATGACTGACATTAACTTTGAAGGAAGATAACGTGCCAACTTGGTCAAATGAAGTTAAATCGAATTCATTCAGGTCATTGTAAGCCAAATCGAGAAATTCTAAATCTGGTAGGTTCTACAAAATGAAATTTATATATAATACTACACATCAATTAGTAAGATCATCATATGAGCCATTTATTTTGATAGTGGCCTAACACCAATTGTCCAAACCCTTCAATATCTCGATTTGAACATAAATGGAACATAAATCTAATTACCTGGAATGCTTCATCAGTAATATCAGTGATCTTGTTCCCACGTAAATTGATATACTTCAAACGATTCATATTCATAAATCCACGTCTTTCAATTCTCTGAATAGCATTATCTTCTAAATTAATAGTCATTAATGACAACAAATCTACAAACGTATGAGTTTGTATGCTTTTAATCTGATTAAAAGCAAAATTCACTTCTTCCAGCATTGAATGTATGTCACCCTAAAAAAAAGATATTATAGGTTCAATAGATTAATACGATTAGGTTTATCCTCCCTCCTCCTTTCCTCTAGATTAGAATAAAAGTGCTTCAATAGATTTAATAGAAACTTTTATATTTATGTCAACAATTGTTGAATCAATACCTGAAAAGTTCCTTTTGGAATAGCATCAATTTCATTATCCTGAAGCTCGATACGTTTAATTCTCTTTAAAAAATGGAACGCTGTGTCTGGCATAGATTTAATTTTGTTGTTACTGAAGTCAAGATGTTGTAGATTTGTCAAAGACTTAAATGGTTTGTTAGGTATCTCGGTAATGGAACTTGATAAACCGTGCGATATTCTTAACGTCAAAAGAGAATGACCAACCTTAATAAATAATTTGTTAAATTTATATTAGAAACTTTGTTTAATATAAGAACAATTTATTTAGATGCACGAATATGTAATTGAAAATTTGTCAATACTTTTTTTTTATTCAAAGTTTTATCTAATATTTTTGATATATAATTTACTAGGGGTACCCTGGCACGCGTTGTTGTGGCTCACAATCAGTCCGATACACACGTCTTTAAGTCAACGAATTACCTTATACCTCAATCTGTTAGAATCTTATCGAACTAACATAGATAATCATGACTCTTTGTTAATAAACAAATAATATTGCTATTATAAATTGAGATATAAACTATTCTATCTTTCAAGTTGGATGAAACTCCACACAGTGTGCAAAATTTGATTAAAATCGGTTCAGTAGTTTAGGAGTCCATTGTGAACAAACAACGTGACACGTCATTTTTATATATATATATTAAAAAGATTTAATAAAACAATTGGTTTATAATCAAAATTTGGAAATATCAAATATCAGTGTTGTTTTATGCATCTAAAAAAAAATTCAAATTCAAATTGTATACCTCAGAGAAAGCATCATCCTCAATTGTAGAAATAGAATTCTCAGAAAAATCCAAATATTTGATTCCTCGAACATGAGTGAACGCATGATTTTTAATAGCGTTCAAGTTACTTTGTATGATATGCAATTCTTTAATGTCCATACCAAATTCAAGAAAATTTTCTGGTACCAATGTCGACTCAGGCATCTTTGATATTGACAGAAATCTTAAGTTTCTCATTTGTCGTAAATCTTGTAAAGAAATGACGCTATTTTCTTTCCCACTTAAATCCAAGTTATATAAAGAATATTGAAAACCATTGAACACTTCGACTGTTAACAAGAAAATTGGTTTAAATTAAACAGATTTAACACATTAAATACTTATACATAATAAGATCATTTACGTAGGGATTAGTTTTCGTCATAATTTTTCTTTATATAATAATGATAATAATAATAATAATAATAATACCTGGTGAAAATGTATCTATTCGATTTTCACGAAAAATAAGTGTACGTAAAAAATCATATTCTTGAAACAAATGACTCTGTAAATTGGTAATATTATTTCCAGACAAATCCAATACTTCTAAGGATGATTCCAATCCAGAAAAATCAGCCGAATTGACTTCAATTAAATTACAATCACTGAAGTATAATTCTTTTATTCTGGAATCACGAAATGCTCCACTCTATAAAACATAACATCAATTATTAATTGTGTAACATTTGAATTTTATTGTATAATCAAAATTATCAATGAAACAATTTACCTCGATAATAGTCAAAGGATTACCATTGAGATAAGTTTTGTTAACTTTATAAAAATGTTGAAAATCGGTTGGCATAAGCATTTCAATTTGATTATAATCCAATCTGAGAATATCCAATGACATTTGTACGCCCCTTAATTCTGGTTCGTGAAGTGGATGAAGCATTTTAGAAATTCTATTGTAACTTAAATCAAGAACCTTCATACGTTTTAACGATGACAATTGAGCATATGGTATATAAACCAATTGATTGTCATTTAAATAAAGATGAGTTAATTTAGCCATGCCATCGCGAAAAACAGATGCATCGATTTCTTTCAATGTATTCTCACGAAGATCAAGAATTTCTAACGATGATAAACCGGCAAATGCATCGGCTGGTAGTTTGTCGATCGAGTTACGACCAAGACGAAGTATTTGCAACGAATCTTCGAGTCCTCGCCAATTTTCTGGCGCAATATGCGATATTTTGTTACCTGAAAACAAAATAGGAATTTATTTATTGGATTAACATTTTTCTAGATTTCTTGATATTTCTTTTATCATTGTTTGTAATTAATTTGTTGTATTGAGTTATCCGGAAAGTTTATGCCGATTTCCAGTAGATGGCGTAAAGTGTTTTTTTGTTAAAAAAAAAACCTGAAAAAAGTTTTGAAAAGACGAAATTTTGAAGTTATCCATAAAGGTGAAGAAAGCTTTGTGAAACATAATGACCACTTATATATAATTTAATTGAAATCTACCAAAAAAAAAAAAGACTTAAATGCGTTGCGTTTCAATCTTCTGTCAAAATCGGCACGAACTTTTTGGATAATCCAATAATATTATTGAATTACCTGTTAAATCAAGAAGACGTAATTTTTGTAAATGTCTGAAAGATTTGCTAGGTACTTTGAATAATCTATTATAGGGTAATTCTAGCTCCCATAACGATCTCTCAAGCCCTAGGAAAGCTTCGTCCGGGATGTCGGCCAAGGGATTATGTTTGATTTGTAGTTTGTAAAGACCTGTGGTATAGAATTACATTTGAGATAGCAATCTACAATAATCATATCCATCACAATAATAAAACACTTGTCAATTATTTCATTATCAACAAAAATCAATCTAATAAATAATTGTACCTGTATTTATTAAAAATTGTGGTTGCAAGAACATCAATCCATTGTTTTCCAATTGTAGCATAAAAACTTTGGAAGAATTAATAGGCTGTGGTATACGTGGCATTGGTACATTGTAACAAGAAACTATTCCAAGATCAGGTATTGCTTTTGAACAGGTGCAAAGTGGATTGAAGAAACATGGTGGATATTGAACTGGTAATTCGTGCATTCGTGCCATTGAGGTCCAAAACATTAACAATAATGTAACTATCAGCATCGCGTAGCCCAGTTTCATGAAAGTAAACAAATTCTGAAATAATCATTATTATTAATATAATCACATTTATAATGGTAAAATAAAATAAAACAAAAATATTTAATAATAATAGATTAAAATACAATGTGATTATTGTGTTTACCATAATTTTGTTGGATATAAATCCTGCTGTATATAAAAAAAATGGTTTATTTGTAAATGATTGAAGAAACTGCACTTCGATACCAGTAGAATGATTCAAAATGAAATAATACTCGACAATGTACATTGACTGATAGTCAACTAGTTACTACTGCCCTACTGACTAACATACTCGGAAGTATTCCTGAAACAGTAGGGCTTCAATGGTGCGTAAAGAGCTAACGGTGCTTCTTTTTACGCGATTAAATCCTACGATATACCATTAGACGTTAGCTAACGAAAATAGTTGCGTAAAAAAGAATAAGCCTTTGATTTAACCCCTTAAGAGAAGAGTTATTGATAAATATTATATACATATTTAAATAAAATTGATTTCAAATTTATCCATTAAATTCCATAATATGTATATATATATATATATATATGTATATCTAAAATTGTTTAAATGTGTGTTGAATTTTACAAATGGGTTGCGGTATTTCAATGATGCACAAAATGCATTTATTTAATGTTTAGAATTATTATTTAGAATATTTAATCTATTTTATATCATTCATTGTTTTTTTCTTTTTCTGTTTTAACATTTTTTATAAATTTAATATTTTATATCAAATATTTTACATAAATATATTAATATATATATATATTTATATTACAATTTTAGGGATAAAAAAACCATCATATACATTTTTGTAAAAATATATCTTCTAATAAACTAATCATTTTTTTTTTTTTTTTTGACAATTTACAGTAATACTTTTCCTTTTGGTATACAAAATAGCATATCAAGTCAATTTTGTATTATTTTCATTTAAATACCGCACCCCACGGTATTCATACACGCATTTATCTTTGATTATTTCAAATATTTATATGTTAATAATAAAAAAAAAAAAAATAGAAAAATAAAAGATAAGATATTTGTACGGATTTACAAATACAGGATTGACGTTTGTATATAAATATATACAGCAGTCGTAGGATCAAATCATGGAATAAAACTATTTTAGCGATGGATGATTGGCAATGGAAATTACAATAAATAAATAAATAAATAAATAAAAATAAAAATAAAAAAACAAACAACGAGATAATATATATTAACACAAGTTATATAAAATCTGTAATATGTTCCATCTCACAAAAATTCTGCATTACCATCAAAATATAGCTGCAAAGAACAACTTTCGTCAGACTTTTAACATTCACATATACAAATGTTCACTCATACATATTTCCTATATATATATACACATATATATGCATATACATTATATATAAATATACATACATATACATATTACAATATCTACAATGAAATGTCCCCCAATTTAACCCTTTCGTTACTGTTAATCCACATATGGATAGATAATGCAAAAACCCCATATATATGACTTATTAAACCATATAGGATTTGTATAATTTATGAAAATATTATATGAGTACATTTATATAGAACAATAGTCGATTTAAAGCGTTCAGTAAGAAAAGGGTTGATATAAAAGTTTCCATAAAAATTGAAACACAATTTTGATAGGACGTTTCATTGTACACAAAAATTCTGTATACAAATATAAATATATTTGTACATGTATGCATAAATATATGCACGTATATGTATATATACATATACATATATATATATATATATCTAAATATATTATATTCCCCACTTTTGTATATTACACATATAATTATAGAATTTCTACCAGTTTATAACAATAAATATTATACGTATGTATTGAAAACAGTAATAAAAAATATGTATATGCGTTTTGTATATGTGGCATGTGTATTTATGTATGTAGGTATGTATGTATGCATGTATGTATTGTGTGCCTGTGGGAAAGTGTTAATATGTTAATTTATTATTTAATATAACTGTTGTTGGTTGTTAAACGACGATGATTTCTTTTTTTTGTTTTTTTGTTTCATCTTTTTCACATAGTTTTGTGTTTCAAATTTCCATTGCGAACGTTAGAAGTCTCGGAAGATATTTTGTTGGAAGTTTCAGTTGATCTTTCTGGAAGACGTGAACTTAATAAATATGGTAAAATGACTATAGCAACCAATCCAAAGAGATGTGGTAACAGGTACATGTACCTGTAAAAAAACAAAACAAAAGTAAAATAAAAAGAACATTATTATAATTAATTATTAATATTAAATAATAATATTCAATGATTATTAGGATAAACTTACAGGTACAGTCTAATGCTCGGTAGGAACTCCAAAAGAATAAAAGCGAACGATATGTAGGCCATAATAATTCTTGTTGAGATGAATGTTATCACATCGTAAATGAATTTCATGTTTTTCGAGCCCAAAAAGAATGGCCTAATATAACGACGTACCTAATAACATAATAAATAATCATGGTTAACAAATTAAGCAAATAAATATCTCATTTAAATATTTAAATTAAGACTTTGCACTTGAGGTCTTTTTTCACTTGCGCTAATCCAACAACTCGAGACGATTTCAGTCAAATTAGAAAAACACTTTACATGTACTTTAAAAATTATTTATAAACAAATAAACGTATATATACAAATAATCAAATTTTAACAATTGATTTATTTTTATATGAAAAAAAAAAAAGAAACATTAAGAAATAATATACTCTGTAATTAGTTTTTGTATGATATTTCGTAAAACAATACCCAAAGATGCATCCTAAGTGTTTATCAAGACACGTATCACAATAATATGTTATTTCCGGATTATTTTCAGATGTATTCTGATCAGAGCAAACTGTACAATCTCTTTTCAACCCTTTAAGCATTATCTTTAAAGAAATATTTTATCACACATCGTAAATAAGCAGATAGAGTTAACAAAAGATTTGAAATTAGCCGCTGGGCGCCGTACCGGCGCCGCTCGAGTTGCTACTCAATCTGCCATTATAAATGTGTAATAATATAATCGTATTACTTACATTACGAGATGCTAATGTGAAGTATACTCCGTTGGCAAAGGTAAAATAATAACCAGGATAAAATCCATGCCATAAAGCTGATAAAGCATACGTAAGTAATATCTTTTGTCGTTTAACTCTATCGTAAACCATTGATCTCAACCATCTATTGGTTCCCATGTTCCAATTGGTTATGCAGTCTCTTAAACTAAGAGATGTCTATAAAAAAATAAACAAAATATATTACAAATGAAATAAGCAACAATAATATGGAAATATAATACAAATTAAATACAAATTATAATATTAACGCTTTAATGGCCGCTCATACAACATGTGTGTGATAGCCGGAACAACCGTTATTGGCCGTTATTTATTTATAACTTTTGAAATATTTAAAATTATATAAAATTAAATTTGTTGTTGTTTTTTGTTTTATATTAATTTTATTGTGACGTTTGACTGCGTAGTTGTGCGGCCATTATATATATGTTTTATGAAGTCAGTAGTTGACTTCGGCTGTCCCCGAACCAGTCCGGGACTGTTGTGCATATTACTTCGGACTGACTGGCATATCTGATCATCCTCTTAATTTGTTCGTCAGCCTTCTAGGCATCCGTCTGTTCGTTTTTGTATGAGTACGTACGTCACATAACGCGTCATGTCATCCCACTTGTCCTGGTCCTGAGTCATAGCGGACACTATGTTGTCCGAAGTCAGATCTCCTGTTCTAATTCGTAGCGTCCGTCTGGCGTCTAGCGTCTGTCCACCGCGGGCACACGAAAAATGTGTGTTCCGTGTCGTCCTGTGCATGTCCGCAGTATCTGCACGACGGGGACGTTACTTTCCCCATACGGTACAGGTACCTGCGGAAGTATCCGTGGCCAGAGAGAAACTGGGTTAAGTAAAGATTTATTTCCCCGTGGTTCCTCTCCGATCACGATCGTACGTCCGTTATGAGCCGTCTCGTCCACCTGTCTTTGAAGCCTTCTGTCCAGCGGGTTTGCCAGCTGCTAAGAGTCTCTATCCGAGCCTCTGTGACAGCCCTTTCCCGTCCCAATTCTACACTTGTCGCGAAGATCCTTTTGCGCTCCTGTGCTAAGAGGTCTACGGGAACGACTATCACGAGCGCCGCTGCCGCGGAGACAATCGTGCGGCCATTAAAGTGTTAATTATTGATTATAAGTGTATGATTGTTTTACACCGATTATATTACCTCAAATTGAATAACATTAATATTGGCAAATTTATCCCATCGTGGTTCACCATTTTCTTTGTAACCATCAAAACCAAGTCCTGAATTATTACAAATGGCGTCGGCAAAGATCCAAGCATAATAATATTTAAAACGTACCAACGTAGTAACTACGATTATGTACCATAGTTTATAAAATAATGATTCTTGTAAAAAGTCATCATCTAAAATAAGAAACACCAAAAATATTAAAACAAATAATCAATCATGTTTTATAAAATATAAGTAAAAGTGTATGTGAGTGCATGCAATAAAATTCAATATATAATATTATAAACATTTTGTAAAAATAATCAATAACCTTTTAATTTTTGAATTGAGAACGATGGAATTAAAGAAACAAAGAGAGCAGCGCACATTAAACTAGCTATCACTTTTTTAACAACAATTTTCATCGGTGATGGTTCTAATACAATTTCGTTAACATTTTCCAATGTTTTCTCATTGTTCTGACCCTAAAAATATAAATAATATATTATTATATAATAATTTTAATTAATAATTAATATATACAATTAGATAGATAGATAGATAGTATATATATAATATATATAATAAAAAATAATAATTAATAATTATTAATTATTAATCGTTAAATTAATAATTATATAATTAATTAGAATCTTATCGAACTAATAGAGATAATCATGACTCTTTGTTAATAAACAAATAATTCGCAATAAAATATTGCAATTATATATTGAGATATAAACTATCCTATCTTTCAAGTTGGATGAAACTCCACACAGTGTGCAAAATTTTATTACAATCGATTCAGTAGTTTACGAGTCCATTGCGGACAAACAACGTGACACGTAATTTATATATATTAAGAAGAAGAAGATAATAATATAATAATTATATTTTAATAATTATATTATCATTTAGAGAATTGTCCAAAATTGTGAATCAAAATGATAAATTAAAATTATGAATTAATTAAATAAAAGAAATAAAATTATGAATAAAATATTTGAAAAATAGATTAATCTCACCGTCAATGATTTAGTAGCATCTTTCATATGATCACCATTTATAAAATCGATATAATCACGATAAAATATTACTGGGCCCGCCATTAAAGCTTGAAAGTGAAATACATAACTGAAGTATTCCATCATCGTTGGCATTTTACTAGAATAATATAAACAATAAATTTATATAAATTTCAATACATATATATATATATATATTAAATATAAATCAATTAATTAATTAATTAATATAAGTGTCCTTTCTTTATTAAAAAAAATTGTATACTTTATATATTTTCTACTTGAATCTAAAAAAAATAAAATAAAATAAATCAAAATATAAATCTTTATCCCGAAATAAATATAAACGAACAATAATAATAATAATAATAATAATAATAATAATAATAATAATAATAATAATAATAATAATAATAATAATAAAAAAGTATTGTATAATAATTAAATCCTTTACTAATTAATAATTAAATTACAAAATATCTACAAATAATAATTAAACAAACACGTGCATGCCAATGCAATTGTAGAAGATCAAAATTCGTCAAACATTTTTTTTGATCCTCTTCTCGTTTTTTAATCAACAACAAAAATATATATATATATATTTCTATTATATACAGGGTGTCATTTAAGTCAACCGTTTTTTTTTTTTTTAAATATTCCACCCTGTAACATTGCACATGATAAATTTCAAATATAAATAAATAAAAAGTACTAACAAGTAGACTTAAAAGCGTATAAACTACATTTTATATAAATTCAAACTTGCTTTTTACTATCTAAATATAATAATATAATAATAATTATAATAATAATAATAATAATAATTAGATTTAAATATTTTACGCATTCATCTTGACAATAATTAAATAACAATTCTAATTAAAATGAGGGGCAAGAGAGCTAGGCTATAAATAGGCGTCATTCATATTTTGCTAGAAATATTCTTTATGTCACCTAAAATCACCTACAAATGAAAATCGAAAAAAAAAAAACAAAAAAAAAACTAAGAATAGATTAAAAAGCCAAGCTTTGAATATACATCATGCTCCTCTAAATATATATATATATATATATATAATAATATATATTCTCTTTGTCTCTCTCTTTCTTTTTTTTTTTGGTTTCTATATATATGTATATATATATATATATATATATCACATAAATAATATATGCGTGAGAGACTAATATTTAAATCT